ACACCGGGGATGGACGGGGTGCGGGGTAATGGGAGCGACACACACCGGGGATGGACGGGACGTGGGGGCGTCACTGGGGATGAGGGAGACGCGGGGTAATGGGGGTGTGTCCCCGGGGATTGGGAGGGACTTGGGGCGTCAGTGGCGATGGGGGAACGCGGGGGAACCGGAGCGTCACCGGGTGTGAGAGTTCGGAGCGCGGGGGTACCGAGAGCATCACCGGGGATGGGGAAACTCCGGGAGTGTTCGGAGCGCAGGGGTAGAGGGGTGTCACCATAGTGGGGAGTGGGCTCCGGGATGAGGAAGCTCTGGAGTACGGGGGTACCGGGGGCTGAGAGGTTTGTAGAGTTTGGAGCATGGCAATAATGGGGGTGTCACTGGGTCTGGGAGACAGTTGGGGAATGGATGGGCTCAGCATGGAGGTGACAGGGCCATCACTGGGGCTGAGGGTCACCATCACCAGAAACAGTAGAAGGGTGATGGCACTGTCACCACACACAGGRACAACACTGGATCTGGGGGGCTTCAGACATGGAGAGACCAGAGCATCATTGGGCATGGGGGGCTTGGGGCATGGGAGAGTTAACAGGGTGCCCCAGGCTGGGGAGGCTTGGGGCATGGAGATATTATGGTGTCAGCAGGGCAGGAGGTCTCAGAATGTGGGGTTACCAGGTCGGTCACCATGCTTGGGACATGGAGACAACACCAGCGCTGAGGGGGGTCATGGATGTGGAGGTGATGGGGATTTCATTTGGACTGGAGGAGCTTGGGGCATGGAGGTACTGTGGGTGTCTTTTGGGCTGGAGGGGCCTGGAGGATGGGGGTGATGGGATTCTCAGCAGGGCACTGGGGCTTGGAGGTCACCAGGRCTGGGGAAATTGGGGTACAGAGATAATGGGGCTGTAACCAGGCTTGCATCACGAGGTTGACACTGGGGCTGGGAGACTCAGGACACGCAGATAACAGGGTGCTAACAGGGCAGGGGACCCCAGGGCACACGGGGGGCAATGGGGGGTGTCCAGGCTGGGGTTCCATCCCCATGACGATCCCGGTGCTGGCAGCCTGGCAGCGTCCCTACCTGAACATCTTCAAGCACTTCCGTGTGGAGGAGTGGAAGCGYTCTGCCAAGGAGGGGGACGTGGCTGCCCTCACGGTAATGCGGGCACCGGTGCCAGGGGCGGGGGGCACTGGCCAGCCGTGGGCAGTGCTGACCCCCATCTTTCCCTGGTTTCTGAAGGACACGAGGATGAAGGGAACAATCTACCGGATCCGAGGGTCAGATCCCGCCAGCAGCTACCTGCAGCTGCCCCGGAAAGGGACGCAGTCCCTGGGGCTCACAGGGCRCTACCTCTACCTGCTCTTCAAGCCCCTGGCCCGCAAGCACTTCCTCGTGCACCTGGATGTCACCACCGAGGTCTGTGACACTGGGTGGCCTTTGAAACTGCCATCGTGGCTGATTGAAGGATCAAGGGTGGCAGTGCTGGGCTTGGGAGGTGCAGGACTTGACTGCTCCTTGCTGCTGRTGGGTTACCCCAGGCTAGAGATGGTTTCCATGCTCATGGCATCTCCACTGGGGACAGGGAACACGGAGGGGACAGGAGACAGGGCCATGTGCCTTCTCCTGTGCAGCACTTCCCTGCCGAAGCCACCAGGGTGACTAAAGCTCCGTGTGTGTCTCTTCCCAGGAAAACCAGGTGGTTCGCATCTCCTTCTCCAGCCTCTTCAAGGAGTTCAAATCCACGGCCACTTGGCTCCAGTTCCCCTTCRTCTGCAGAGCATCCAGAGAGAGCCCGGCCCCACGGGGTGAGGAGCYGAGTGCTGGGGCTGGGCTGGCACAGCACCACCAAAATAAATTGTTAGAAAGCAAATTGAGTTCTCAAGTTGACTTGATGTGTTTGAAAACAAGCTGTGGCTGCCCCTGGATCCCTGGCAGTGTCCCAARCCAGGYTGGATGGGGCTTGGAGCAGCCTGGGATAGTGGGATGTGTCCCTGCCCARGCRGAGTGGGATGAGAKGGGTTTTAAGTTTGTCCCTCCCAACYCAAACCATTCCAGGATTTTCTGATAACAGTGGTGGGCCTGAGCAGGAGCCCCTGTGCAGGCAGTTCAGAGCTGTAGCTCCTGGTGGGGCTGTCCCCTGTTCCAAGCAGTGAGTGCAGTGCCAGGCCAGGCAGGAGCCCATGGAGGGGATGGGATGGGATGCCTGTCTGTCCTTCCCCACCCCTGAGCCTACAAGTTGTGTTTTCCCATCTCCCACTTGGCACAGGCCTGGTGGGAATCYTGCCTGGTAAATACTTTGCACTGAGCTCTTTGAATCCTGTGTCTCCCATCCAGCAAGGTCCATGTCCTAGCACTTTTTCCCCATTCTCTCACCCCCAGGTGCCCCTGGAGCAGCCCCGGCCGACGCGCGCTGGACGTGCCTGGTGCTGGACCTGCCCTCCATCGTGACCCAGTACCTGAACCGCAGGTACAGCCACCTCCGGGGGGTCAAACTCTGCTGCAACCTGCTCGTGAAAAACCTCTGCACCAGCGACCTGCTCTTTGAGCCAGGTGAGGAGCCCAGACCTCGGGGCAGCCTCTGCTTTCTCCTGAKGCTCCAGCCCAGCCTGGGGGGAGCCTGTGGGGGCTGAAAGCTGAGTTTGCAGCTGTGGCAGAGCACTGAGCTGCTGGTGCTCTATCATAGGAACAGAACAGGCAAATAYTTGATATGATGTTAAGTTTCCACATGGGCAGGGACACCTTCTGCTATCCCAGGCTGCTCCAAACCCTGTCCAGCCTGGCCTTGGGCACTGCCAGGGATCCAGGGGCAGCCACAGCTTCTCTGGGCACCCTGTGCCAGGACCTCAAAGGGACCAATTCCTTCACACTGTCTTCTTTATCCCTGCCCTCTGGCAGTGGGAAGCCATTCCCTATGTCCTGTCTCTCCAGGCCCTTGTCCCAAGTCCCTCCCCACCTCTCTTGGAGCCCCTTTAGGCACTGGAAGGAAATCTGGAATGGAATACGATCTCCCAAACTCTGGAGGAAAGTATCCTCTCATGTTCCAGCTGCAAAAGTGAATGAAAAGAGTAAAGCTAAAAATCTTTCTAAGGTTAGAAATTTTTTTCAGGGGTAAAAATGAAAGGTGTCATCAAACCTCTCTTCTCCAAGACTTGTGCTTTTATCTGCTGGAAGAGCCTGTGCTTTTTTTTGTGTCAAAAATCTTCCAACCTGCTTTTTTTATCCACCTGCTCAGTGTGGCAGAGGTACTTTGGTCAAACCCTTTGTTTTCTACCTTTCCTTTTTCATGCTGGAATTCTGTCTGAAGTGCCTAGCCTGCTGGGAAGCATCAGTGAGGAAGAAGTTATAGGGGCTGCTTTGAAATTCCTGAAGCTTATTGAATCTTCCCTCTGAAACCGTCCCTGTTTCACTTACCTAAATATAAAAATACATGAAGGAARTAAGAAAACAGGCAATGAGCTTTGAGAGAAATCGTGTGAAATTGTTGAATCAGTGAACAGAAATGATGTGAATCTTAAACCTGGAGGTTCATAACTTGGATTCAAGGGTTTATGCTCTGGGCTCTTTTTGGAGGTTGAGAGTTCCAGGAATGCAGCAATACAGTTCCAKGAACCTGTTCAAGGTGTGTTTGTTACCCACCTCAGGCTTGTGGTCTGTGTTTCTCAGGTGGGAGGTGATTTRTGCCTGTATCCCACAGGGAATGTGGGATTCCAGCTCCCTGGAAGTGACAGTGTGTTTGTTCCTGTGCTGCCAGGTGTGACATTCTCCGAGGCCCGCCTGGGTGACCTGTCCTGCCGCGGGGTCACCCCCATGCCCCGGGAGCTGGCCTTCCCCGTGCCCAAGGGGGCCAAGTGGCATGACCTCTATGACTACATCAGGTACGGCTGCTCCCGATCCCACTGTGGCTCCCAGCCCTCCCCACTCCCGGGGGAAAGGCAGGAGGGATGATGGCACTCAAAGAAAGACAGATCCCAGTGAACCTGGCACTTGAGTAGGCATTTTGGTCCCCYCACCTCCAGCATTTAGAAATTGTTAACAAATCTATCCTTTGGTGTCACCTGCCTTTTGTATCCCTGTGTTTGGGGGATGATGGGGGAAGAGGGCAATCTTACAGGTGGCAGCAAAGAGGTCTCTGTGCCAGGCTGAGGTGCCAAGTGCTATTCCCAGGTGCCAGTGCAATATCCCAGTTACACAGTGCCTTCCTCTGGTTCTGCTCAGGTTCCCGTCCGAGGGGTCCAAGGAGCTGCGCGACTCCATCCAGAAGAGCTCCCCAAGTCCTGCGGCAGGTGGGAGTGCTGGGGAGTGCTGTGCCACCCTGGGAAAGTGCCCTGGGTTTCCAAAAGAGCCTGACCTGCTCCTCGTGTTGCCCAGGTGACCAGGTCCTGGAGGAGCCCAGCCACCTCCTGAGCCAGCCACTGACCCTCTCCAGAGCARTCTGTGACCGCCTGTCCCTCGTCCGTCACATAACCAGTCCCAGAGCTGTAAGTGCACCCTGGAGGAGGCTGCAGCTTCTTCCTTCTTGCTTCCCAGGGAGTTTTTCCCTGCATCAGTGTTTTAATTTAAGATGTAGAAGCTGCTTGTTGTTGTTGGCAGCTGCTCTGGGCACGGTCTGGTGACCACAGCCCTACAGTTACTGTGTGGGGGCTCAGTGTCGTGCAGCACAGACAGGAGATGTGCCAAGTACCTCGAGATCTCCAGACATCCATCCTCCCTGTCCCTGTGGAGGCAGCAGATCGTTGTGTCTTCAGATTATAGATAGGAAGGGAGGTCTGGAGCCTGAGGAGTGTAATCAGTGCCCTCAGGGAGCAGAGYGTGGAGTTGGGGTTGCTGGGACTGCAGGCAGGTGCTCTCATCTGATTTCCCCTTACCCACTGGGGGTGATGGTGTCCARACTGGCTCACCAGTGTGCTGGTGGGTGTTTGGGGAGGGACTGGGGGAGCCATCCTTGTGCTGTGGAGAGGGAGAGAGTGAGGAGCACGGCCTCTCTGTGAGGGTGTCTAAAGGATGGCTGWGAAGATGGGGAAGGGTGCAAGGTGCAGCAGTCACTTGGTTTGWTCAGATGRAGAAGAGGAGACTGAGGTCAGACCTCATCAGGGGCTGCAGCTCCTCCCAAGGGGCATCTCTGATCTCTCTGTAATSAGGGACAGGACCCAGGGAATGGCTGGAGCTGWGTCAGGGGAGGTTTTAATGGATATCAGGAAAAGGTTCTTCTCCCAGAGGGTGGTCAGGCACTGAACAGGCTCCCCAGGGTAGTGGTCCCAAACCTGCCCAAGCTCCAGGAGCATTTGGACAAGGCTCTGGTTTGCCCTCTGGAGAGATGAACTGTGCATGGGAAGTGTAGGGAGAACAGCAGGTTAACAACCTGGCCAGCCAAATGCTCTCCCTCTGCATTTTTCCTCCTCATTTGTGTTGCTGTGAGGAGCTGTCAGGAGAGAACTGGGTGTCTCCCTGTCTCTGCCCCTGCCGCAKGTGGAGGGTGCTGGGAGGAGAACTGAGCTCTGCCTGAGGCTTTCCTCGTTCTCAGGTGCCACATCAGAGTCGTGTACTCCCCAAAAGCATCCCTGAGGTTCACCTGACAGCCCCAGGGTCTCCCAGAGCTGTGCCTGCTGGAGATCCCGTGCTGGAGGAGAAGCAGAAGCTGCACAGCGCGGGGGACATGGGGCAGCCACCGTCACCCAGCCATGGTGGCATCCATGTCTACGCCCACCYGAGGGAGGGACGGACCACCCGAGCTGTGCCCAGCTCAGAGGAGGTGAATGAAGCTCTGGAGGGTCACAAGGTGCTTATTTCTATAAACTATTTGGGATATTTATTTCTAACAAAGGGAGAGAGGGAATGCAAGGTTCGGGCTGGAATTTTGGTTAAACTTATGGAGCCCCAAAGATGCCCCTTTTTCTGACAAACAGTTCTTTCCACCAGCATCCTACTTGCCTTGAAAGAGGGACCCTGTATTCAAATGTGCTGACATTAAGGCAGCAACAGGTTACTGGTTTGCTGAGCTGTGCCATCCCAGAGGTGAGCCCTKGCCTGCAGGACAGCCCTGGAAGTGTCCAAGGCCAGGCTGGACRGGGCTTGGAGCACCCTGGGCTAGTGGAAGGTGTCCAGCAGGGGGTGGAATGGGATGGACTTTAAGRTCCCTTCCAACCCAAACCAGTCTGGGATTCCCACAGTGGCCCCAGCTGGGCACCACCAGGGTTGGCAATACCCTGGGGCTGGATGGGAAAGCTGCTTAACTCTGAAACCCCAGCTCCTCCTGCCTGACAGGTTGGACCCTGCCAGGTTAAATACTTCAAACTTGTCCCCTGTGACAGGAGAAACCCAGAGCTGCCTCTGTGCTGCAGAGAGAGCCGAGCACTGGGGTTGGGGTGCCCCGTGGTTCTGGCTTGGCTCTAAGCGTGTTGGTGCTGTGTGGTTTTCTTTCCCAGGGGCTCATACCAGATCCCATCCTGAAGCTGAGGACGATTATTGGCTTTGGAGGCTGCAGCACCAAATGGGTCAGTGGTTTGGATGGTCTGAGGGGTTGATCTGTCACTGTGTGGTGGGGRTGTCAATGTTTGGGAGGGGTGAAATGTGGCTGAGGGTGGCACTGCCTGGTGTGGGAAATGATCCCAAAGTGGATGGGCCTGAACATCCATTTGTGAACAACTCCTCTGCTGTTAGGATGGTGAATTGAAAATTATGGATTCAGATAGAATCATRGGGATGGAAAGCCCCTCTAAGGCCATCAATTCCGACTGTTTTCCCAGGATTCCAAGGCCCACCACTAATCCATGTCCCCAAGTGCCACATCCACATGGCATTTAAATACCTTCAGGGATGRTGACCCCACCCCTGACCACCTTTTCCATGAAGGAATTTTCCCAATACCCAACCTAAACCTCTCCCGGCACAACTTAAGGCCATTTCCTCTTGTCCCGTCCCTGTTTCCTGGGAGCGGAGCCCGACCCACCAGCTGCCCCCTCCTGTCAGGGAGCTCTAGAGGGTGGAAAGTTCCCCCCTGAGCCTCCTTTTCTCCCGTCTGAGCCCCCCCAATTCCCTCGGACTTTTGCTCCAGACGCTTCACTAGATTTCCCATGTATTTAGCACATTAAAACTCATGCTGATTGTTGGAGGGTGGAAAGGAAGGGCTGTGTTTTGGATTGTTTCTGTGGCAGACTGGGCCTTGCTTGTGGTCTGTGTTATGTAGAGAAAGGGTTGGTTTGGTTCAGTCTGTTKAAGGCTCTGCCAAGAGTGTCATTTTCCTTGGATYTCCTGCTCACATGGTAGSAAAGGGACCCTAAAGCCCATCCAGTGCCACCCCCTGACATGGACAGTGCCACCTGTCACTAGCCCAAGTTGCCCCATCCAMCCTGGCCTCGAACACTTCCAGGGCTGGGGAAGAATGGAGTTCCTGGGCCCTGGGGCGGTTCTGGAGCCGTGTCCCCCCTGTCTCGGTGCTGCAGGCTCTGTGGACGCGGGACAGCACGGCTGTCGTGTACCCCTGCCACGCCGTCATCGTCACCCTGCTCCTCAAGACCGGCCAGCAGAGGTTCTTCCTCGGCCACACGGACAAGGTGAGCGTGGCCCTCGCCATCCCTGCTGGCTGCCCTGTCCCTGCAGCCCGGTGCCAGCTGTCCTGGTGGCTCTTGGTGGCCTTGTCCTCCGCAGGTGGCGGGGCTGGCGTTCAATGGGAGCAGCACCGTGCTGGCCTCGGCGCAGGCCGGGCCCCGCAGCCTGGGGCGCCTCTGGGACTTCCCCTCGGGAACCTGCCTGTGCCTCTTCAAAACYGGCCTGCAGTCCCTCGTGGCCCTCAGGTGGGTTTTGGGGTGCAGGGTGTGCTCAGCATGGCAGCGCAGCAGCTTTGCTGTGCTGTTCCAGGGCTGAATTACAGCTGCCTGCATTTGTGACTGAGACCTGCCGGCAGCTGGCCTGGATTTGCTGCCAGCTCCCTCCTGAGCTGATCCCTCAGCTCTGGCTGTCTCCCCATCCCCACAACTTGTCCCCTTTTATCCCCCATGGGGATGCTCTTGGGTACAAGGAGCTGTTTTTCCCCAGCTCTCTGTTCTTGCAGCTTTTCCCACAGTGGAGCTGTTCTGTGTGGCGTCGGGAAGGACGGGCATGGCAAAACGGTGAGAGCTGACACTTGGGCTGGCAGTTTCCCTGAGAGACCTGTTCTCCCACAATTTGTAGTTGTATTCCAGACAAACCTTTGCTTTGGGCTTCCCTAGACATGTTCTTGAGGGACACCCCTTTCTCATTAGCTGCCTAAAGAGCACTTTCCCTCTGCCTGATGCCTGTGGGTGTTCCTCAGCAGAGAGTGAACAAATCCTTTTGCAAGCAGAGAGACCTGCTGGGGTTTTGCTTTGGGGCTGTTCTGTCCTTGGAGTGGTCCCAGCTAGTTCCCAGGCAGGGTGATKGGATTGTATCTTTATTTTAACAGCRTTTAGGRCAAGATGTGAGGTGAAATCTTGCAGCTCCAGGCATGGCAGTGGGAAGGGATGCCGGGCACTGGAACTGCCGCCCACCTTTGGAGCTGGGGATGACGCAGATGCCACGTGTAGCAGTCAAAAATAAACTCTTTCYGTGGGACTGGGGGTTTTGTTTGTCAGTGGAACTGTTTTTGATCCACTGTTTTCATCCTTCAGTGACGACCATCAGCAATTAGCTGTGCCATCACTAAGTGCAGGAGAAYCACACCGTGCTCTGAGTTTTTCCCAGCATGGGCAGCGCTCTGTGATCCATGGGGGAGCTGGGGAGGTGGGATCAATGGGGTGCTGGGGGAACACCTCTCCCAGGGTGATGCCTCAGCCCATCCCAGCCTCTGGGGTGGTGCTGGGTTTGGTTTTAACGCTGTTCTGGAAGGCAGAGCATCATCCTGCATTCCTTCAGGGAGAGGGTTTGATTCCTGTCCCTGGTGRTGGGCACTGAGGGCACACTCCCTTGTGCTGGAGCAGTGGATCTGTGCTGCCTCCGCTCCCTCAGCCCTGGGACAGCTCCCATATCCCAGCAGGCAGAGTTTCCACTGCTCTGRGGGTTTTCTTTCCAAGTCTCAGTCCTGTTGCCAGGCAGCCCTGGGATTTAGAACCTCTGATTATGGGTTGCAGACAAGGATATTGCCACAAAGCTTTGCAAAGCTATTGGACTGTCCTGAACCCTCTGTGCAGTGGGTTTTATTTTATTTCCCGCTCCGGATCTGTTACCAATCCTTCGTGCCCAACTCTGGAGCAGCTGCTGGATGAAAAGCTCTTCTGCTGCCAAGCTTTGGAGCAGCTCTCCCATCATAATTTCTTGTTTCAGATGGTGGTGGTGTGGAACACTGCTCAGGTGACCCGTGGTGGGGGCGTGGCTGTGCTGGCCAARGCACACACAGATGTGGACATCCAGGCCATGAAGATTGCTTTCTTTGATGAKACCAGGTAGTGTGGCAAGAAAAGAAATCAGAAGTATTGATTCTTAGGTATTGGGAAGGAATTTTTCCCTGGGAGGGTGGGGAGGCCCTGGCACAGGGTGCCCAGTGAAGCTGAGGCTGCTCCTGGATCCCTGGCAGTGTCCAAGGCCAGGCTGGACAGGGCTTGGAGCAACCTGAGATATTGGAAGGTGTCCCTGCCCATGGCAGGGGGTGGAATGGGATGGGCTTTAAGGTCCCTTCACCCCAAACTACTTTTATTCCCTGATCCTGGCATGGCTGGGGGTAACTGATGTGCTGCAGCCATCCGTTTGCCATTCCTGCTCCCAGTCCTTGCTGGCAGTGGCCCTTGGGACTGTGCCCTTCCCCAGGGGCTGGGCAGCCCTGCTCTGGTGCTCAGGCCATGTTTCCTGGGACAGGATGGTGTCGTGTGGCCGGGACAACATCAGGCTGTGGCGCCTGCGGGGCGGGGCCCTGCGCTCGTGTCCCCTCAACCTGGGCGAGTACCATTCRCTGCACTTCACCGACCTGGCCTTCGAGGAGCGCCGGGGGCCACAGCAGGAGCTGGAGGACCGTGCACTGTAAGGGACTGTCACTGTCACCTGTCCTGGCTACCTGGCAGGAGGGAGATCTGCAGCTCCCCCTGCTCCACATTCTCCTTCCTGACTACGGTGTTTTGTTGGGGTTCTCCCTCAAAATCCAGGTGCCTTCTGGAGCTGGGAGAGCCTCTCCCTGCCTTTCCCTCCCACAAGGGATTTGGCTGCTTGCAGAACAGCCTCTTTCCTCCTGCCATGCTGCTGTTCTGCCAYATTTAGTGACTTTCTGCCTACCTGAAGCTCTCTGTTGGGTTCCTGGGGCAGCGGGAGGAGCGTGGTACACATCCTGTTACATACAGACACACACTTTGTTGTTTTATTTTAATCATCAAAGCCAAACCTTTGTTGCCACCACATACAGTCCCACTAAGGCAGARCTGTCATCTCAGCTGGCCTGTGACAGAGGTTCCTTTCTGGAGTTTATGCCAAACTTTTCGTTTTTTTGCTAGTTTCTGTTCCAAAGGATCAGGAAACCAAACAGGGAGCTCTGGCTTTCCTTGGAGGTGTGTGGGGTAGCACATGGAACACTTGGGCACCTTRTTGACCTCTTGTATTACTGTGAGCCAGGATTGCTTTACACAAACCAGTTTAACAGGTAAACCAAGCTGGTTTTTTTTACTAAAAGCAGATCTCTGTGGTTTTTTTTTTGTTACAGCTTTGTGTGCAGCAGGAGCGGCCATGTGCTGGAGGTGGACTACAAGAAAGTGTGTGTGCGGAGTGCACGGCGCCTGCTGCCCGCACGGCCCCGGGGGGACAGCGAGGAGCAGGCAGGGAGCAGCTCAGGTGGGAACAGGAACAGGCTGGGAGCAGCTCAGGTGGGAGCAGGAACAGGCAGGGAAGGGCTCAGGTGGGAGCAGGAACAGGC